AGTGACATGTTTGTGATATTTGTTCCTTTCCTTGGTATGTCTGGTACCTGGGTGAAGGTTGCATGCTCATGTCTCCAATGTCCAAAGTAAAATTAATCCTGCTCTATATTTGTTATCTTACCTTCTAACATGTTATTTGTTAAAACAGTACATTATTGTGTGTACTATTTTGAAACGAATTTATGACACAGTGTATAGTCTGGTGTAGTATTCCAGACCCGGATACATCCGAACAAGGAGTAAAATCAGCTTTGAGGCGAGGAGCACAGTCAGTACATATATCTGCTGCGCTCCTCTCGTGGTTCGGATGTGTCCAGATGTGGAACACCACAACAGAGTATACACTGTGTTATACGCCTCTGAGTCAGTACATATATCTGCTACCATTGTGTTACATATATCTCCTGTGTCCAGATGTGGAACACCAGAACAGAGTAATATACTACACTGTGTCATAGTTTCACTTGGAGTTGAGCATCCCACTTATCCGAATCAGAACAGTATAATGACACAAACTTGAGTTTGTGAGTAAAACGAGTTGTGGCTCTTCACAGACTTAGAGGAGTAGGATGACCTGTATTTAGAAGTGTGAGGACCAAAATGAATTGGAGTTCTGCACCGATGATCGTGTACATGTGTAGAGCGAGAGAGATAGAAAGAGAGAGAGAGACAGAAAGAGCGAGCGAGAGAGAGACAGAAAGAGCGAGCGAGAGAGAGACAGAAAGAGCGAGAGACAGAGAGTCTTAGAGAGACTGTACTTAATTTTCAGGAGACGTAGGGTCGAGCACACGCGTAGACCATCAGCCTCGTTTTTTAAAGCATTTCAGACGATCGTTGTAGGAGAGCAGCAAGGTAATGTGAATTTCCAAGATAAGCAAAGCTCGGATGTATTCGAGATCACAGGAGACAGACATACAGAGGAAGTCCGCAAGAAATGGTCATGTACATTTTAAGAGCGAGAGATATAGAAAGAGAGAGAGGGACAAAAAGAGCGAGAGACAGAGTGTCTCAGAGAGAATGTACTTAATTTTCTTGAGACACCGCACGGACGGCGCAGGGTCGAGCACATGCAAAGATCATCAGCCTCGCTTTTAAAAGCATTTCAGACGATCGTTGCAGAAGAGCAGCAAGGCAATGTGATTTTCCCAGATAAGCGAAGTTCGGATATATCCGAGATCACAGGAGATTGACAGAGAGGAAGCCCGCAAGAAATGACATATTAGCACGCCAGAGGGCTGAGAGATGGAAAAGACAAGCATCGTATAGTCACCCACAGCATTTCGTGTTACGAACGTATCCGAAGTGTCGAACTAGTATATACCCTTCAGTTTGAAGCTTCCCCTGTGCTTTTTGGGACACAGTTCAAGGACTATTTTTTGCGAAACTGAGAGAGAGAGAGAGAGAGAGAGAGAGAGAGAGAGAGAGAGAGAGAGAGAGAGAGAGAGAGAGAGAGAGAGAGAGA